TTTAATTTGGTTTAAAATTTTATTTATTTATTTTTTATAGATAAAATTTTCGATTGATAATTACAGATATATATATAAAGCTTTTTATTAATTTGGTTACCATATGAAAAGAATCTATGAAGTAATTTATACAAATTTATACTCAATATTTCTGACAATTTTAAATTTAAAAATCCATAATTAATTTAAAATTATTTCAAAATAGCTTTCGTAAACTAAATGTTTGCCGCAGCTGATATCTAAAACTGGTTTGTTTGAAAATTCATTTTGCTATTACATTTACTAAATTTTTTGCTAAATATTTGCTCTACATTTTTAGCAAAAAATGTAGTAAATGTAATAGCAAAACTAATTTTAAAACAAACCCGTTTTAGACTTTAGCTGCATTAATGCTGTTCATTTTTATTTTTCGCAACCTAGAATAATCACTTTGCCGCTTTGCTCATATCTTCGTACAGTTTCTATACACTCATATGGCATAATATGCAGAACCGTAAAAACAAATAAGGAAGAGCCGAAATATGAATATGAATAGCTCAAAATTGTGCTATGCATTAAATTAAAAACTCAAGGCAAATGTCGCAAACTCTCGTATCAATTTACACTCTCTGTTATAGTTCAAAATAAATTTTTGATTTGAAATTGTCGCGGTGTCGGGTTAATCGCTGGCTCTGCCAAATGAAAACTAAGCTGGGATTGTCTTACAAAATTGGGCCAACAACTTGACGGCGTTGAGTGAATCGAGTGTGAGAGTGAATCGAGTGAATCAGCATTTAGAATGCGATCGAATTCTACTTCTATCGGGAACTCGACGTGTTGTCGATATGGCTTTAATTATTTTCAATTGAATACTTCACACGCGGACTTGTTCAGCTCAACCACAATTTAGTCTCTAATCTGTGGAATTGACAAGGTCACATATTTGCAGCGGCATCTAAGCAACACGCTGAGATAATTAGATTAGATACAATTGATCAACTTTCTAGCCGCCCAGTCACTTGTCACTCTCTCTCTCTCACACTCCCCCTCTCTTTGGGTATTGCATTTATTTTTATTGTCGCATCTTTCATTGGTCTATTCATCCGTTGCGGTCTCTACCGAGTCACAAGTTTTTGGTGTTTGTAAACAAATCAAACATTTTGTACTTTGCCCATGCAATAAACGTTGCCAAATAATTCTCGGGCTAAGGCAAACTATTTTGGATCCACTTACATCCGGGCACAGTTCGACACCTCTTGAAGGCACTTAAATAATTCTATTTTAATTACATAGATATTATAATAATATAGTTAATTTCCATCTGACAGTTGTTCGCATAAAGTATAGCAAATTTTCGATATTTATTTTCAAAACAATTTAAGACCATTTATACACCCTAGACAACATCAATAACAATTTCTAATTGTTGGCTGTCCAGCTCAACTGTAAATAACTCTGACGCACTTGATAAAAAGCTTTGCTTTTTTGACAGGTCAAACAGGGGG